CAAATAAACTTTATCCACTGAATAAATCTCACCAAGTGTCAAGAAATAATATAACACAACAACAAAGTAGAATGTTCCATGCATTTTGTAGTCATTCTAATCATATATTGCATTGTTTGGTTGTATCCTTGTGTCTATTTTTCCAGAAAGTGTCCTCAGGCTCATCTGTAATTTGATAGTTCTAAGCCTAATAACTCCATTTTGCTTAGTGAAAAAAGTCTACTGCATTATATCAAGGTAAAGTTGATGAAGAATCTTTTCTGAAAAATAAATTGGCGACTAAACAGTGGTTTTAAATGTTTGCATTGGGATTTGTCAGTAATCTTATGCTACTTTTCAAGTCCTGTTTTCTTGCTCTAGTATTGGAAAGCCAAAAACCACATCAGTAGTTAATACAGAACACATTTATATTTTATTTTTAATGTTAATCAAAGAACATATATCTAGAATATGTTTGAATATAATTTAAGCATAATATTTATATGTATTCCATTGCCATTTGATTGTTGGAAGGAAAGAATCTCTTAAAGAGTTTTGAAACATACAGAACATTTTTCTAAGCAAATACTAAAGAGTTGCTATTCCCACCATAAGTGAGCGGCCACCATATTTTTTTTTCAGTTAAGGATGAATGGAAAGCTATCACTTGTTAGTAGGGAAAGGCCTTTTGTATGCAGAGGAATTGGGATTTGCTTTTTATATTAGGAGAAAGTTTCTGTTTGTGCTTATCAACACCCTTGTATTAACAGATGCTTTCAGAGCATGCAAAATCTTATGCCAGATAGCTATACTAGTGCAGAGGTACTGAACCTTTTTAGTCTAGTTGGCTACATTGAAATTTGTGACAGCAAATCAAAATATTGGATATTCAAAGAAAATGATTGCTATGGCAGGGAGGTGTTGTCACTCACAACAGAAAAAAGCTAATTGAGGTTTTGTTCTGCCATACTTTTCATTCACAAGGAAGAGTTGAAATCCACACATCTGGAAGTTGCCACAACTGGGAAATAGCGCTGTGTAAGAGTTCAGACCAAAAGAAACATGTTCTTTCATTTTCTGTATGGGATTCCCTTCTTCTTAATTGGCACTTAACAGGGAGATGATGCATTGGTGGAACACATCTTGATGAACACATACAGCCAGACTTTTAAAATAAAGCTATCAGATGTGGACAGCAACAATCTAGATAATCACTAGAAACAGCAAAGGTATTTTTTGAACCCAGCTATACTAATCCTATTATAAAGATACAAGGGCTTTCTCTTACTCCACATTCAAACATTCAGCTAAAGTAAAATTTACTTCGTTACAAAAACTAGAACTTATTAGGCTTTGGGATAGCTGCAAACTGACAGTAATTCTTTCCAAATATAGTATGATTCTCAGAATCTCTTTACCAAGATTTATTGAGAAAATAGGGATGAGTTATAAAATTTCAGTAACTGAACTGTTTCCCATTGAAAACCAGTATAAGGCCATGTATAATAGAGTGGGAAGTTTTGATTTTCTTTCTAAGAGTTTTCCTACAATGCAGCAAGGTGGACCAGCAGGTCTTTTCACAGATAGCAGTGATCCTTGCTGCTGCCTTTTTATGTAACAGTTTCTTGAATCTTTTCATTCTGGGACTCCTGTCCTACAGAACCAACTTAATGAGTAAACAGAGGATTAAGTTAGAACCGGAAGAATGGGCTTTTTGAGCACTTAATTCTTTGATTTTTGTTATTGTTCTTTGTTGTTTCATAGTGGGAGCTCTACTTGGAAAATTGTCGTTTGGGTGGCCCTATTCCTGTTGCTTTTTGGTAAGCTTCTTTCTTACAGTGCGAAGAATAAACTGTATCTCCTGTATAAAACATTTTGCTGTACTTATTAGGGTGCATTACAGCCTACTTCATCATAAACATGTTCCACAATCATACATCTTGCTGACTTCAGTGGTACCTACAACATAGCCCTATACTTGTTTTCTCAGAACTGTGTTCCACTAGCTGTGTTCGCATAGCACACTGAACCATAGACTAGTCAGACACATTTTTAACCTAACCTATTATGCAAATACAGTCCTGGGGATTAGTTTATAGTTCAGTATTTATTTATTTATTTATTTATTTTTACTTATTTATTTATTTATTTGATATTTCAAATTTAGAACTGGGCAGTTCACAGTAAAAGAGCAATAAATATTAAAATACAATAAAACAATATAAAATACAGTAAATATAGAATAAAAACCAAACACATACACAAATAATATCTTCCAAGAAGTTGATGGTCAGTAAGATGTTAACATATGGGAGT